GGACAGATATAGGAGACAAAGAATGTGTTTCATCCCTAAACATACTATTTTAAGTAATTTTGGAGACACATTAATAAAAGTGTCTCCATAAATCAATGAATAAATATTTAATTAATATGGGAGTTTATTAAGTTTGTTCCCAAAAGATTTGGACGCGGGATTCCTTGGTGGAAAATTGGAATAGAAGTTTGGCGGTGGTAGGAGGCCGGAACAGTTTGGTGTCTTAGTTTCCGCTCATCTTCGATAAAAAAGAAATCCCTTTCAATTTTTTGTCATTCCCTTTTAAAACTTGATTATCCAATTATAAAAAGGAATTGATAAGAATTCTTGCTCTATTATATTTACCCTTTCCTTTTGGAAAAACAATTCCTTTTTCTGTTAAGCTTTTATTAAATTGTATCTACCGTTCCCATAGGCCATAGTTATTATATATCCTTTTTTGTTTAGGTTTTGTTTTCCTTTTTATTATTAGACTAAGAGTAGTAGTCTCTGTAATTGGCTATAAAACTAACTCAATTATATGGTTTTGGAACAAGAAGTACAGGAGACAGTAAGAAGAAAAGGAGAGACACGACATCAAGTCTATGTTGCTCTCATAAGCGGCCGAGACGAAAAGCTCTTATCTTGGCGTATGCGTATGAATTATTGAGGTCAAGAATTTTCCAGCAGTCTTGGTAGTTGTATCAAGCCATAATCTTTGCCTTGGTGGTTGTATAAAACATTATCTTTTCCGTCTCCGGTAATTTTTAAGGTTACGTATAGATTTTAAATTAATTTGATCTCTTTTCTTTATAAGGTTAGAGATACTTTATTATGTATTGGTACGACTATTTGCTAACTACTTCTTTTATGCCTTTTATGTTTGGTATCTTTTTTTTTCCTGCACGTGAACATATATTTATACTTTTGGTTATAATTTGCAGATCATGATTCCGAATAAAGATTGGATGGGTATAACAAATAGGAGAGCGCCTGAATTCATCGACGGCGTCAATAAATTTATTGAGTTCGCATTTTCTCACTCTGCCAATCAACAAGTCATTCGTTGTCCCTGCACAAAGTGTGGAAACGTCGCATATAAGAATCGTTCAGAAGTGAAGTTTCATCTGCTCAAAAATGGAATCTTAAGCCATTACACAACTTGGTATTCCCATGGGGAAGTTGCAAGTAATAATACGAGGGCACCCACAAGTGGAGAAGTTAATGAAGATCCTATTTCTGGTGATACACTTGACGATATGGATGAACTGATACGTGACGTGTGTGGCATGGGAAGTGACGAAGAAGATTTTGGAGTCGGAGAAGAAGAGCCTAATAAAGACGCTGCTACCTTCTATCGCTTGCTCAAAGAGGCTAATGAGAAAATGCACTCAAATTGCAAGCACACTAAACTAGCCACGATTGTGAAATTGCTCCATCTCAAAAGTCTTCACAAGTGGACTAATAAGTCATTTGACGACTTACTTAGCATTATGAGGGAACTGATTCCGAATGGCAAGGATATGTTGCCTGAATCTTTCAGTAGTGCGAAAAAGTACATTGCTGATTTGGGTCTTGGTTATGAGAAGTATGACGTTTGTGAGAACAATTGCACGTTATATTGGGGACCTCATAAAGATGCAACATCTTGTCCAGTATGCGAATTGCCTCGATATGCTTCTTTCGATAGGCATGGGAAGGGAAAACCACACAAGGTGTTGCGATATTTTCCCTTGACACCGAGACTGCAGAGGTTATATACGTCAAGTAAAACGGCTTCCCAAATGAGATGGCATAAAGAAGGGCGAACTGATGATGGAATAATGCGACATCCTGCTGATACTCCTGCTTGGAAGTCATTTGATGAGAAATATCCATCTTTTGCAAGTGACCCTCGAAATGTTAGACTTGGTGTAGCAACAGATGGGTTCCAACCTTTTGGCAACATGAGCTCCCAACATAGTATTTGGCCAGTGGTGCTTGTCCCATACAACTTGCCCCCCTGGTTGTGCATGAAACAACCATATTTTATCATGTCAATGATTATACCCGGCCCTAGTAGCCCCGGTATGGGCATTGACATATTTTTGCAACCCTTGATCAAGGAATTGAAGGAATTATGGGTGGATGGAGTGAACACATATGATGCCCATTCGAAAAGGAACTTTCAGTTACGTGCTTCTGTTTTATGGACTATTAGCGACTTCCCGGCATATGCTGATTTGTCAGGATGGACCACTAAAGGTTATAAGGCTTGTCCGTCGTGTCATAAGGACACTTGTGCCCAACACTTAGGAAATTCGAGTAAGATGTGCTACATGGGTCATAGGCGGTGGTTGTCGCCTAATCACAAATGGAGAAAGAATGCTACAGGATTCAATGGAGAAAGGGAAAAAAGAAAGGCACCAAATCCATTGTCAGGTGATGAAGTGTTATTGAAATGTCAGACTTTCAAGCAACTACCTTTCAGAAAGGATACGAAGGTAAACTATGATGCTACTAACAGTTATGAAAACTTGAGGAAAAAGAGCATATTTTTTGAGCTACCCTATTGGAAGACCCTTCTTATCCGCCACAATCTTGATGTCATGCATATTGAGAAAAATGTATGCGATAATGTGCTCGGTACCATAATGGACATCAAGGGGAAGACAAAAGATTCGTACAAAAGTAGGTTGGACTTGGTACAAATGGGGATTCGGAAAGAACTACATCCGAAGGTTGTTGAGGGTAAAACTCAAGTTCCAGTTGCACTTTACACCCTATCGAAGGTGGAGAAGGAATCATTGTGCAAAATGTTGACAAATATGAAAACTCCGGATGGATTTTTATCAAAAATTTCTCGATGTGTCAACATGAAGGAGAGAAAAATCTCTGGCATGAAGAGCCACGATTGCCATGTGTTCATGCAACAACTGCTTCCCTTAGCAATTAGACGGCTTTTACCAAAGGAAGTATGTGAGCCATTGATTGAATTAAGTGCTTTCTTTCGAGACTTGTGCTGCAAAAGTCTTAGTGATGATGATCTCGACCGTCTTCAACGTCAAATTGTGATGACCTTATGCAAACTAGAGATGATATTCCCTCCTTCATTCTTTGACATCATGGTTCATTTGTGTGTTCACTTGCCTATGGAGGCTAGGATTGCCGGGCCAGTGCAAACAAGGTGGATGTACCCAGTGGAAAGATTTTTGCGAACCCTTAAGTCTTATGTTCGTAATAAAGCTCATCCAGAGGCTTCCATAGCAGAAGCATACAGAATTGATGAGTGCTTGACTTTTTGTTCTAGGTATCTTGATGGTGTTGATACCAAGTTTAATAAGCCCCCAAGAAATAACGATGACAAAGGAAGTCCATGTAGAAATGGGGAAATCGATATATTCGATGAAGTTGGTCGTCCATTTGGGAAAGGTGCCCCCACAATATTCAACGGTGATTGGAGAAGGAAGGCTCACATATACGTCCTAAACAACTGCAAAGAAGTATTTCCTTTCATCCAGTAAGTGCTCTGAAATTGAAAGTTGTTTTCTCGTTTGGTATGAGTGTCCTTATATGGTTACTAACCCAATCTAATTTTACAGGGAATTCAAAAATGGTTTGCCTCCAATGCGAGACTCTGATTTGATAAAGATCTATAATTCTGACTTCCCCAAATGGTTCCAACGTCGTGTAAGTATAATATCAAAATTTTAGTCGATGAAATTTTAAAACTATAATCTAATTTCAATTTGATTCATTTAACTTGTAGGCGAGGCAAATGGAAGGGTCTGTTCCTCAAGATTTAGTCCATTTAGCCGATGGACCTATCAGTCATTATACACCATACACGGGCTATATTGTTAACGGCTTTAGATTTCACAATCTAAGTAGACAAGAGTCTCGAAAAAGCCAGAATAGTGGGGTGCTTTGCAGAGGTGATGATTCATCTACCGAGAAGGAGTATTATGGAATTCTTGAGGAGGTGTGGGAGTTGCAGTACATCGGGAGAAAGAAGGTATACTTATTTAAGTGTGAATGGTTTGATGTAACTCATAGAAGTGGGTACAATATAGATGAGTACTCAATCACGAGTGTTCGAGCCAGTCGTCGCCTGAAAACAGAAGAACCATTTATATTGGCAAGTCAAGCAGAACAAGTTTTCTATATTGAAGATCCCCGAGACCCTAATTGGCTAGTGGTGATGAAGGTACGACCTCGCGACTTGTTCGACATGCCCGTGGTGGTCGATGCAGAAGTAGAAGTTGATGACTATGACGATGATGATGCATTTCAAGAAGAAGAACGAAATGAAGAGGGACGTGCAACAAGACAATTGGATTATGATGATGAATTTGGACTACAAAGATCAGATGTACCCCCAGAAGAAATTCCTATTGAAATGACACAACGAAGTGAAAATGTTGGAAATGTTGATCGTGAGGAAGAGGAAGAGAATTATCAACTAGTGTGTGAAGACGAAGATAATATTGACGATGATGAGGATATCGATGATTAAGTTTTTTATTTTTATAATAGGAGATGTTCTAATTTGTGTGTTTTTTTTTACCATGTATAGGATATTCATGTAATTTACGTTATTAGTTTATTTTTATTAAATTGTCGATTGCCATTTCTTTTTCATTTGATGTTATCGTACCGTTTATATTTTAGAATATTAACATAGTATTATATGCACTATTAGTTTTAATCATTTATTTTATTTGTTGGCGCCTATTATTTTCTTAGGCGGCAAATTTATAATTGTTTCAATCAATGTATGTTTTATATATTAAAATCGAAAAAGAGCTCGGCGCAATTTGGATTTATCTTCCTCTTTTCTTATTTTTATGAAAATCTTCCTTGTTTTTTATTTTTCCGAGTGTAGAGTCAGCCACCGAACAAGGAAACTTTCGCCAAAATCAAATTTTGGGTTGGCGGCAAAAGAAATAAAAGGGTTTTAGGTTTGGCGGGCAAATCAGAGTTCTAGTTCTAGACAATGGAAATAAAAGGGATTTAATTTGGGGGCAAGACGCAGAACGCCTCTTCTCTTTTCTTGTTTTCGGAGGAAGAGTTCAGCTTATGCGATTCGACGGCGAGGGCGAGGCATTGATTTTCTTCGAGGGCAAGACGCAGGTACTAAATCTACTTCTTTTAGCATTGAAAACTGATTTGGCGTGGATGCGTTGCTTCGATGATTTTACCTGGTGTTGTGTTTGAATATATGATTCCTTCAAACCTCTGTCCTCTACTGTTATTTAATCCCTTCACTTTTCCGGAAAAGAAAACCTCTGTATTTGGCAGTATGGTCCATGACACTGAAAAGGGGGAAACGATTACAAATCCAATTGTAAATCTCTCTTACCTCCCGACGCATAGGGTTAGAAAGGGAGAAACAAATCGAAATCCATAATAGCCAAATTTCTTGCTTTGCTCTGCGTTTCTGTCCTATTATGTAGCTAAATCTTGTATAACGTAGCCAAATCATCCCTTTTCATCTTTTATTATATATTAATAATCAATCAAATAGCTACTTGATGCCCTGCTCCATAATTGTCCCACGGCTATATGGTTTTCCTTTATGCCTTTTGGCTTTTGGGTGAAATACAGAGAAGGAATGGAGGGGGAAGTTGTTAACTAATAAAGAGGAAACTTTGCTCATGCCCCAACGGTAGTCATGACACTTAATTTTCTTCTATAGGGATGGCTGGTGCAACGAGAAGAAGAGCCAAACTCAGATCAAGTCGTCCAATCCTTCATATAGGGACAGAAGAAATCGACGGCACAACACATGTTCCAACAATGGAAGGGTGCAACAGGTCATGTTCGCAACCTCAATCCAATTTCAGTGCATCTAATGCTAATGGGATCGATGTACCTCAAGGTACAGTGTTCTATAACTTATGAATTATTCATTAGGAAATACAAAATTATCTTTTAATATATTTTGTTTGTTATAAACGTGCTTATCATGAAGGAAGTGTGCCTCCTACTGGACCTGGTTCAGAACGCATACCACAATCTACATCAGAGGAAGAAATTCAAGGTATATAACTATTGAATAAGGCTTTATAAAGTTAATATGATGAAGTTGTTTCTGCCTTCATCTTCCATCACCATTTAAACATGTGTGAACAGGTATTACTAAGAGTCGTGTACGTGGTAGAGGCAAATATAAAGGCCTTAACATGGCAAAGAAAACTAAGTCAATCAATGACAAACTGCTTGTGTATTTTCCTCCTGGTGAAGAAAATTATCAACCGGTTGGTCCCAATGGAAGGCGTTTGAGTATGTGGTTGGGATATTGTGTTCGTTCTGTAACTGAGGCGCCAATGTATGGCTGGAAGTCTACCGTAGTTCCTCAATACAGTAACCAACTATGGAACATGGTCACTGTAAGTGCATTCGAAAGAAATTGGACTATCCTAATCACCATTTGATTTATGCTTACATGCTAATAATTTTAATGATCTCGATTTATTTGATAGGATTACTTTGACGTGAGTTCCGAAAGCCCTCCAAAGCTGAAAAAACTTGAGGAATTGCATAATAGTCCTTCGTCTGAAACTATTGAAGTGAAGCAATTCAAGTTCAGGACACATTGCTTCCATGTGATGAAGGAGAGCTATAGAAAGTGGAAATCAAGGCTCCGAAATGAATACAAACAGTTTGACACCGATGAGGAAAGAATGCAGAAAATCCCTGAAGGTTTAACAGCTGAAAATTGGGGGAAAATGCTACAAGTCTTTGCATCAAAGGAATTTGTGGTACGAATTGAGAATGTTTATTTGATTATATTTTTCTTTATTGAATATTGCATCTGTTATATTTTGATTTCCTGGACTTGGTTCTTCATTTGCTAATGCGTATCAACACTAGCTTATATATATAGAAATAGAATATATATGTTGCATCTGTTTATGTTATTGGACAAAATCCTTTATTAATTGTTTATGCTTCTCTGTAGTTGTGTTGAATACAGATTTTGTACTATAACTTATTTTTTTTATGCTTTTGCTGGGTAGCATTGGTAGCCTTGTTCTTGCAACAAACTTATTGTTTATAGATGCTTTAATTTGTATGTTTATATGTGTATATAGGAACTAAGTGACAGGAATACAAAGAATCGAGCAAATCAAACACTTGTAGCATGCACTGGGCCAGTTTCCTTTGCACAAGTGAACTATGATATGGTAGTATTTTTTTTTTAATTTATGTAGTTTTTAAATAATTTATTTCGCTATCTTTGATTGGATTTATCACACTTGATAGATTGACGAGGAAACTGGTGAAGAAGCATTAGCTTCTGAGGTTTGGATGGCTCAGCATACCTTTCTGAATGATAAGAACGAGACTGAGTGGGTCAACAATGAATCATTCCTAGCTTATGTAAGTTTTAATTTATTATACTCAAAGTACATTTATGGAATTGTTAGATTTTAGGAACAATGTGTTAATATTTGTATTCCTTTCTTTTTAGCAACAAATCAGGAGAGTTGAAGAAGAAGTTGTACCAGTTAATCCAAATATTGACGTGCTGAAAGAGGCTTTTAAGACTCGCTCTGGACATATTCCTGGTAAAGGAACTGGTTGCAAGTCAAGGAGACAAACAATAATCAACCCCCAAAGTGGAAAAGTGCAACAGCTCGAGGAACAATTGGCCGCTGTGACAACAAGGTTAGAAGACCAAGCTCAACAAAATCAAGAGCTGACAACAAAATTGGAAGATCAAGGGAGGCAAAATTTGTTGTTGAGCCAAAGGTTTGAGCAATTAATGGAAATGGTACAAAGTCAGCAACATGGACACTCATCAGAAGATACTGAAGTAAGTTCCCTACCCGCAATCCTCTACTTACATGTAATAGAAGCTTAAATGTTGAAATTGCTATTCTTGACTTAGGATAGCGCTTAAGTTGTTTTTTTTTCACTTTCAACTTGATTATATGTTATGATTAGTTTTTTTAACAAATTTTGAAATTAGGATGAAGAAACTCTTAGTCGAGAAGAGAGGAATGAAGAAGAATTTGAAAGGGAGCAACGTTATCTAAAGGTATGTGACTTTTCTTCTTTAGATCAAAGAAATATGATAGTCTACTTGGTAAACAATAATGTATAGTGAGAATATTTAACATTTTTTGAATAAATAATGTAGGTGCTGCATCTTAATAGAAAGAGGATTTCACCAACAAAACATTCTTCTGCTGCAAAAAAGAAGAAGTGATTCTTTGCTTCTTCACGGTATGTGTAAACTTTTTTTTCATCTCTGGACTAATGTTTTGTTGACTTTTTTAATAATAATTATTAATCTTTGATTATATTGTATTTCCAGGAAGATGGAAAAAGAAGCATCTTTATGGGTCAGATTTGGAATATGATGAGAAGAAAATTATATTTATGATTATTTAGGATTTTGGATAATGATGATACATTAAGTCACGATTGTTTTACCTTTTAAATTTTTGGATCTTATTGATGTTATTATTATATGGCCAATATATTATTTATTTGATGATATCTTGTGTGAAAAGATTATGTAGGGATGATTTATTGTCTCCAAGTGGGCGTGTCCTCATCCCCAATTATAGTATATATGGGATGTCTCTTTGTCTCCAAAAATAATTTTTTTGGGACGACTAAATGTCTCGACAAATTATTATTACTAGACGTCTTGTTGTCTCCAAAAATCTACTTAAAAGACACATCGTTGTCTCCAAAAAGAGTTCTTAGGAGACGAAAAGCTGTCCTGATAAATAGTTCACAAGAGACGACTGGCTGTCTCCAAAAAAGACCGCATAAGGGATGATTTGTCGTCTCCAAAGATAGTTCTTTGGGAACGACTCATCGTCTCCAAAACAGTGCATTAGGGACAACTAAGTGTCTTATAAGATAGTTATTAGCAAGATTTGATGTCTCCGACAAACTTCATAGGGTATGACTTGTTGTCTCCAAAACTACTTCATAGAGGACGAATTATTGTCTCCTGACATAACATATAGGAGACGACTAATTGACTCCCAAAATACTGCATAGGAGACGACATATTATCCTAAATTCTTACAAATAGGACGGAAAATTAATTAGAATTTTTGCACTTTTGGAGACAACTATGTGTCTCTGACATTGAAGACGACTTTCCTTTTTTGTCTCCAAAAGAATAGAGGACGGAACCTATAGGCACCACCCGCAGGGACGACATTTGTCGTCTCCAAAAGATTTGGAGACAAAAAACCCATGTTTTGGAGACAAAATTTTTCGTCCCCAAAACCTATCAATTTTGTAGTGTTGGGGAGCAAGTGATCAGGCTTTAAAAAGCAAGGCAAAAAGCCGACATGTACTTATGGTGGGTATATTGGACATACTGAGGATGTATGTTATAAGAAAAAATGGATATGAACCAGGTTATAAATCCAAGAAAAAGAACCCATCACGACAAGCCAACAATATTCTAGTTGAGCATGTAGATTCTTCAACTAGTGCTGTTGTTATGGTTATCCCAGCAGAATATTTGAATTTCCAACAATAGTACAAGAAAATGATGCAAATTAAATCATACAACCCTTATCTACCAATGTTGGCTCTCAACAAGTTATGAAGCAAACTACACAACAGTAGTTGCCACCTCGACCTCCTCACTTTCAGGATGCAATGTATGGTGAACAAACAACCTCATCCATCTCGCTCTACAGAGAATGATGGTTTTGGTTCTCACCAGATCATCAACAGGTCTAACTCTGTGGCATCTCACATCTCTTAGGTTCTAGCATCTATAGGTAAATATAACTTGGCTCTCTCTACAACATTTACACTTAAAAATAAGTGGATCATTGACACAGGGACCATATAATATGTTCATTAGACTCTTTCATTGCTTAAAAAATGCTATCAAATACTTTTATACACTTACCAAATGGGAATAAGGTGCATGTCACTGCAATTGGCACAATTAGATCACTCAACTTCTTTAATACTGAAGAATGTTCTATTTGTTCATAGCTCCACATTTAACTTGGTTTCTATAAGCCAATTAGTTAAGAAATCAACCATATGTTTATGATATCATTCTTCCTTTTGTCTCATCCAAGAGTTACCTTCCCTAACAATGATTAGTGCATCTAGCCTTATAGAAGGACTATACATAATGCGCTCTCCTAAGCAGCTTATTCCCAAAGGCTCTTCATTTGCCATCTTTTTAAACTACCAAGTAGCGGTTCAATGTCTTACACTATAGACTTGGGCATCTTCCGCACAACAAAATCCAGTCTTTACATATCAAAGACTGCAATATACATGTTCCTTTATATTGTCATTATATATATTTCAATCTAGCAAAACACAAGAGATAGCCTTTTGTTTCAAAGTATTAGCCAAACTATGAAACCTTTTGACTTGTTACATATTGACATCTCGGGATACTCCGTCACAATCATTAAATGGTCATTCCTATTTTCTAACAATAGTAGATGATTTTTCAAGACATAACTGGATTTTCTTAATGAAGTATAAATCTAATACTCGAAATATCATTATTATTTTCTTTGAATATGTTTCAAAACAATTCAATGCAAAAATTAAAGTCCTCAGAACACATAATGGTCATAAATTTCAAATTCCATAGTTTTACAACTCCAAAAAGTCCTTCATCAACAACTTGTGTTTACTCCTCCTAACAAAATGGAATTGTTGACAGAAAACACTAGCATGTATTGGCAGTGACCTGAGCTTTACTATTTCTAGCTTACTTATCTCATCACTTCTAAATTTTGCTCCTATGCATATGCACTTGATAAACAATCACCAACCCCTTTTGCTTAATAATTCCAATCCATTTGAAAAACTTCATGGTCACAAAGTTGATCTCGGTCGCGTGAAGGTTTTTGGCTCTCTCAGTTATGCCTCAGCAATCCAATCCACTAGAACAAAACTAGATCCAAGAGGTTCTCCCTGTGTTTTCTTTATATCCAAATTGAATCATGTTTAAGTAAGGAAGGCGAGTGGTGGTGCCAGTTAAGTCAAGTTAGTTCTCTAACGCCAGCCCCCTTTCTAGTGAAAGTTTAAAGGAAGAGCACATAATGCTCTTAAGGTTTATGGGGCTAGATCAATAAGACTCCCATAAAAGGAAAGGAAAATTTAGACATACGTTGACCCTCATACGTATGAGTTGAGTTGTTGGACTAGTTATGGAGGGGATCCTAGTGTCGATCTAATGTTTGAGATTTTCAGTGTGACGAGTCGCTTCAACTCTCATGTTTTTAAGAGAAAGTATAAAGGGTGAAAGTATAAACAACTTTCACGAGTTTTGAGGTGAACATATAAGAAAATAAACGTAGGTGCTTCGAGTTTAGATAATGACGTAGACTTACCCCAACCCACTCACCAGGTCGTAGAGGAGGACCGAGAGTAGAGCGAGCAGCCAGCTAAAGAAGGACAGTACAAGCGTCACTGATGGTGTCAGAGATCGAATGCCAGTAGGCAGTAGCGTTGGCTTTTAGTTATTATATTGTACGATTATAGTAGTAAGAGTTTATGGTTGAGGTTATCCAAGTATTAGGCCTTTGTTTTAAGCAATGATAGTGTATTTTTCATATTTATTGAAGTCATTGAAAAAAAGCTTCCGTTATTTTTATAAGTCTTTTCGGTCCTTATTTTGGTTCACACTTTATTAAGGAAATATTGATAAAAGTAATTTCCTGCTGGACTAGGGTGTTATACTATTGATCAATGAGAATCATACATGTTTGTAGGGTTTTCAATTCCAATAGCATTGCTGTTACACAAGCACAACCACCAGTGCTGCAAAACCTAGAGACCAGATTCTTCGAGGAATGGGTAATCTGTGTACCCAACAACAGGATCGGAAGAATAAAACGTGACTCTATCGAACTTGTTCAGAGGTGCATCCAACTCAAATCTCCTGGGCAAATCAGGATTCGCCAAGAAGCAACGACAATAAGCCACTAAATCCGCACGCCCCTCTTCCACATCTCTGTTCCCATCTTCCCTGGTGAACCCACCAGCAGATATGAAAGTACCCTTAAAAGCCTTTCTCATAGGAACCAAACTTTCTTGGGCATGGAACAGTCGATCCCCTAACTTCATTCTGGGCTCGATCACGTGACAATAAGCGATGCCATATTCGTTCAGGCTTGGGCCATGTACAAGCCCAACTCTTCTGGGTTCGAGTCGCCGCATTCTAGATAGTCCGTGAAAGGAGAAATCCTAATCCCAACTCGGCCCGAACCGATTTCCTTGCTCACGGCTTGGACTATCTCTAAGGCGAAACGACATCGGTTCTCCAGAGAGCCGCCATATTCGTCGGTCCTGTCGTTGACTTCATCTTTCATGAATTGGTCGATTAGGTAGCCATGAGCCGCGTGAATCTCGATTCCGTCAAAACCTGCTTTTACGGCAGCTTTTGCGGCGATTCGGAAATCGACGACAATCGCGGGGATTTCATCGGTCGCCAATTTTCTTTGAGGTGAGTATGGGAGTCGGTAGTCCAAGTCCAGTCCTTTGTCCGTACATGAGATTGGAGCTTGGCCTTTAGGCTGCATATCTGTATGGAACGACAGCGACGCATTAATTATTGCATGTCCATGGACATATACCATCTTAGATAATATTCTAGACTGTCATTGAATCATTAACGATAACCGTTTATAGTTATGAACCAAGTTTTAATTTCTAAGAGAATCTCCATTGGTGCAATTGCATTTGTGATTTTTTTGACACAATACCTTTTTTGCAAACTAACTCACTTTACTTTCATTGTACCTACATTGGTGAAATTAACTTGCAGGTGCATATGGGGCCTAATTTTTTTAATGCATAAAAAACATTTTATTAATTACCTTTTTATCTACATTGCAAGTAAATATTTTTTAGTTTAATTTTTATGCATTTTAACGTTGGAGTGTACTATGGCAATGAACATTGAATAAAAGAATAAGTTAATATTTTCAAAAAATCAATATAATAACTTCGTTATTTGTAGATATGAATTAAAGTAATAGAAAATAAATTTTGTATTTATATTATTATGTATAGTTTATTATAATTAATAAAATAAGTATATGATGTTATTTACTCCCATTGGTACAATTGGTACAATAATACTAATTTAAACACATGGTCCATAGAAGTTATCCATACAATTCCAATAAAAGTTAAAGCTATGGCACATGTAGCCAAACGTTGACATTGAAATAATAACATAAAAAAAAATGATAAAACTTTTCATCGTGGCTTGCAATGATGACTTGCACCAAATGAAAGTTTCCATTTTTGCAATAGCAACTCTCATTGATACAATGAGAAAATGCAATTGCAAAGATGGGCCACGTCAAAATGCAAGTGCACTTTATTTCTCCGATGGAGATGCTCTAAGATAACTCTTCCCATTATATATGATGTCCCCTAAAATAGTTGAATTATGCAATCGTAGAGAATGGTACGAGATGCTCTTTTCCATAAGCCGCCAGAAATAAAACTCACATTAAAGTAATGAGGCAAGT